GCAAGATCTTGTTAGGTTTCTCGAGTGGGACCCGCGGGACTTCGATGCGACAGCTTATCATGCTGCGAATCACGCGTTGGATCTTGAGCACGACCTGGGGACGATCAGTACCCTGACGGGCCAGGCAACAAAGTTTCGATTGTGCGTTGATGGCGCGCTGCGTGGAGGGAAGGCGGCTGCTTTGGGAGTTGCTTTGTGCGCTCACACTTCTAACCAACCGTCCAACAAGATCTTCTTTTACCGCGCTGGACGTGGTTTTGCGGGCGTGGGGTCCGCAGTCATCGCCGAAATTATGGCGCTAGGGCGAGGCGGAACGTTGGCAGGAGGAGGAGGAGGAAGAGGATCGAACAGGGATGGGGGTGTGGCTGAGCAGGATGAGGATGCATGGGTGGCGTGGACGGTGGTGATGAATATGAACGGAATTGTGGCGAAGGCATTTCTGATGATGCGGATGTTGGCAATGGGCATGCTGATTGATGTGATGATGGCGAGGCCCTTGATTAGATCGGTGCTGGGTACGAAGACGCGGCTGGCGATGCTGATCTTAATATGCAAGAGGGCAGGCAGGTTCAAACAGAGAGTTACCAAGCTCAGCCACATCATGCAAGATCGCGTGGGCGACTGCTTTTTGCAGCGCTATACCTCAGAGCCCCAGCCCACGGTGCTGGAACCCCAAAAAGGCGCCATGTCGTACTCTGCGGTGGAGGCCACAGGTGTGGTCTCGCGCTACCAGAGGAACTAACTGGACCGCTTGGGCAGACCATCGTCCATAACCTCGGCGCCTGAGCAATATAACGCACCGACGCCGCTGTCCAGCGCAGACGAACATGTCACATTATTGCCATTGTTATGCCCCGCTCTTCCTAACAATGCGCCCCAACGATTCCCGGTACCTCCACGGGGCGTGCTGGTTCGCCACTGGTTCGCGATATCGGTGGCAGCACGCATAGCAAAACAGCGGCAAGCCGGCTGCCACATTAGGCCCGGGTGCTATGAGATCTAACCGTCGTTGATCGTCAGCCGGGATTTGAATATGGGAGTCTCGCAACATTCGTTCAACGTCACGGTCGGAAATTCGTCTGCTTGCTTCCACCAATACTTGACGCCATGTGGTCGCCCCGTGCCCGTATGTCGAACATGTGTTCGCCCTCCCTAACCATCAGCAAGCTTGTTGTGTCCATGCGGATCTGGTCCGTCGTGCGACGCAGCAATGCCCAGGGGTGTACGCACGCAACTCACCATTGCCAAGTTCGTAAGTTGAAGACCTACTGTCGTATGACATACCGTTAATCACGTAGTCGTGAATGGCCCCAGATTTGAATGACTGCGGTTTCTGGGTATTGAGGCGGCGTTCGCCCGACGGCTGCGCGCGGGCATTGTGCGTAACAGATCAATGTAAGCCGACCGCTCCGCGGGATTATCAGCGTGAAGTTGTCACCCGTGTCGCCACTCACCTCATTCAGCTGCCTCGGGTGGTGGGTTCCGTGGTCTCGTTCCGATTGCAATGTCTTCAAAGTTTCCCTGCCAATTCCGCGGCAGCCGAACATTCTGGACCGAAATGGGGTTGTCCAGGCGGCACTGCGTGCAAAGTAGTGTCGTGATCTTCCAGGCTTCTTCGGGGAAGCGTTCAAATAATCCTGGGGTAACATCTGCCCAACTTTCCCAGTATGCTGCTGGGGAAATCCGTGTAGAGTCCCGCAGCCCCATCCAGCCAACCGTAAAGGTAACTGAACTTGTCGCACCCACGCGCCATAAGGCGCAGCATGCAACTATTCGTTCCGTACGTCAATACTTGGTATGTATAACATTTGTTGGAGCTCTTGTAATCTATCGTCGTCGCGGTTTTCCGTAATGTTTCGCATCTGGCGTCGCGGAAGCGTCCGGAACAGATGTATGATGCGAGGGGCGGCACAATATTACCGTAGAAGCCATGCTGGCTGTAGATTGGGGAGCTCTGGCAAGTAATTGAATAGCTTCGCCCTCTCCACAACCAACGTGGCCCCTTGTGACTCGATGTGCTCGTCCGTACCCATGGGTGTACCTAATACTTCGATCCCCCGAGCTGCAGCATCAGGCGCATTCGATTTCCATGCTTCCCTATGGTGTTCAGCTAGATTATCTGGGCATGGCCCTGGCTGGCGGCCCCATCGAGCGAGTTTGCCGTCGTTGATATCAATGTGGCACTTGTCGCGAAGTATACCCCTGGCAGTTGTCAGTATATATACACTGTTTTGTCGGGGTCGCGCACGATATAGATATCGTTCAGGTAAGCAACAAGAGTAGTCCCTGGCGGGAGGCGAGCCTGGATTTGCTCCAAGGAGGGGTGAAGCGCCAACGAAAATAATGCCGACATGAGTGCATCCTTTTGTTCTTCACCATCGCTTTGCTCAATCGTATGTGGCACACCTGCACGATCGGCCCATTGAAATTGTGGACCACCGACCCATCCACGCATAGACCTGCCTCCATCGCCTGCACTCTCCACCCACTGACCAGATCCATAACACATACGGACAAACGGGATGAGGCCGTGAAGCTGCGGGTTGGCAACCAATTTTTTGAACATCCGGGCGCAATAAATATGGTCGAACGTTCCGATACCATCGATGTTCACGATTACTTTGTCCAAGTAGGTATCCGTCATGTATTTTAAGAAATGCATTGCTGCGTCGGTGCCGCTCCGGTCACAAAGCCCACTAATCTGCGGCATCACAGCAATTCTCAATTCAGCTTGGTACTGCTTCGCCAGAACTTTTGCAACTAATGTCTGAAAGTGTCTCCTGCTGCAATTCCTCGGACTCAGTTGCTAAATTTCAGTCGCGCCGTCATTAAGGATGCCCGCAAAGCATTTTCGATGGAAGTTGGAAGCCAGCCTTGTGTCACGATCTCGGCAACGTTCCCTAAGAAATCAGACGCAGTAGTACCGTCCAGGCAGAGTTTGAAGTGATCGTACCTGCTACCCCAAAGTCCCGCACTAAGGCCCCTCCGAGAACCACGTGAAATTGTTGCAAAAGCATTTTTGTCAAGCGCCATGCCACCATGGGCTCTAAACTCCATAAATGCAGGCGGGACATGGTTCTGACAGAACCGGTGATCGTAAATATTCATTCCGCGATTCGTCCAACGTCGATTGGGTTCACAGTGCAAGTCCGGCTAATTTGAGCACGCGTGCAGCGTGGTTTAGTTTTCCCATGCTTAAGAATTTCAATGCTTGTCTACTAGGTTGGAATGTGTAGCTGGGTTGTTGGTTGCCTGCCGTTGTCCACGAACCGCAAACCTTGCACCCTCGATCAATTTGTCCCGTTCGCCGAAGTCGAAAAGAGCAATGCGTCGACGCAATGCGCGTTCCCCTGCCGCTCCTACATGATTGGTAGGATGTAGAAGCGTTCGTGGGAGCAATACGAATAGTTCCCAAGTTCTGAAGTAGATCTCCTCTGCTCCTGGATCCTCTGCCCAGGCGCCGTGGGCCGACGATTCCACAGCAGGCAGGACTTGAGTCTGAATGCGTAGGAAGGGCCCGCTGATACAATGCTGTATTGAGCGCAACTTCGGGATACGTGCAGCAGTTTCGGTGTCTAGGTCGACTGCGACGCATGGACGTTCTCTTTGAGTTCGTGGTGGAGGAGGCGGAACGGTCGAAGCCCTGCGCGAAATCGGGTGGGTGCAGATAACATCTCGTAGCGTGTGTGACAAACCGAGTGCATGGCGTTGTCGACAAGACACAGAGTTGCTGCGGCGAAAGCGGATTCGAGAACCAAACGCTCGTTTGAGAAATGGCATGCCGCATGAATATCTCTTCCTATATGTATGTATGGGTATTAGAGCTTCCGGTTCCATGCAACGTCCAGGAGCGCAATCCAGTTTGTTGTGGCATTCTGTCGTTGTAACCACACGCCAGTTGCATCAGCATTCTCAATACGTTTTTTCCCCGTAAATAGGGTGGGGTTTGTTTTTGTTGATGATGTTGATGATGTTGATGTCGGTGATGATGAGGATGGTGGTGGCGATTATGAAAGGAGTGGTGGCGACGACGTTTACGATGATGCGGATGTTGGAAATGATCATGATGAATGTTGTGATGTTGGCGAGGCCATTGATTAGATTGGTGCTGATACGAAGACGCGACTGGTGATGCTGATGGAGGGGGGTGGTGATGATGATGACGGTGTTGCTAATAAGGATGATTATGTTGATGCTGTTGCTTGTGGTGGTAGGGGCCATGAAGGCAAATCTGATGATGTTGATGAAGGTGGCGATGACGAGGAGGAGGAATAGGAGGAGTAGGAGAAGGAGGAGGTGGCCCAGAGGAGGAGGTTGAGGAGGAGGAGGAGGAGGACGAGAATGAGGAGGAGCAGGAGGATGGTACGAGAAGCGACGCAGCTACCCATCTCCGCTGCCACTGTCGCCGCCGTTGTCGCCGTCGCAGTCGTCATCGTCGTCGTCGTCGTCGACGTTGTTGTCGAGCCCGGGACCTCCTCTTGGTGCGCGTTCAGGCCAAGACATTGGGGCAAGCTCGAAATCGTGGCAATGAGGAGGTCTCAGGAGGCGGCCCCACGAAGAAAAGCCAGATCGCGATCGCCGTCGCCGCCGATCTTGTCGGCGGGCGGTCCTCCAGCCCCAGGCCGCCGCGCGCTTGGCCAATCAGATGAGAGCAAGGCCAGCGGAAGCTGGCGGAAGTAAAATGTGCCCACCAAAGATATGCCAACCTCTTTGGATCCCGCCAGGTCATGGTCAGTGTTGGGGCGCGCTCGCGCGCAAGATCGGGCCCTTCCTCGGCGGACGTTTCGTTTGCACCGTTCCGCGCTGGCATCTTCCACGGCCTCGTCGATCCTCGACCCAGGGATGATATGGTACATCGTGCTTCGGCACCCAAGGCCGAACAAGTATGCACCGTACCGCGTTGGGGTGGGGCCTGAGGGGAGTCCAGCCATGGTACGGTGCATTGGCACTGTTCTTCGTACTTCCTAGGTCGCCGTCGCCGTTGTCGTCGCCGCCGCCAGGGTGGCCGACCCTGGGCGCAGCTGCGCACCTGGCTCTCGGATACGCCCGGGGGCTCCTGGGCTTATTTCAGCGACGAGGCCGGGCGCGTCGCCTTTTCCGTCACCGCCGTCGCCGTCGTTGTCGCCGTCGCGTCGCCGTCGTCGCCATCGTTGTCGCCGTCGGCCTTCGCCGTCGCCGCCGCCGCTTTTGCCGCTGCGTCGCCGGCGTCGCCGTCGTCGTCGTCGCCGCCGTCGGCCGTTGCCGTCGGCCGTCGCCGGCGCCGCCGCCATCATCGTCGGCCTTCGCCGTCGTCGTCGTGTCGTCGTTGCCTCTTCCTCGTCCTCCTCCTCCTCGTGCTCCTTCCTCTCTTCCTCCTCCGCCTCCTCCTCTTCCCGTCGCCGTATCCATGTTGGCTCAAGGCCAAGATGGTGTCCGTTCATTGGGTAGGCTCCCACCAGTCCTCGCAGACTTGCCGCCACAATCAGGGGCTTGCGGCCGCCTGTCCAGCTTTGCTTGCTTCTCGCACCGGCCTTGCAGGCGGCCTTACATATCCATTCGCCGAGGCCCGCTCCGAACTCTCCGTATCCTCGCGTCGAGCCCGCTCCGATCCAGGCGTTGGATGAGAATCTCCTGTGGTGCCTGGCGCCAAGTGGCTCACCTCAACATGTCGGCGAACTCCTCCAGTGGTGACGATCGATCCACCTCCCGCAGCCAGCTGTTTATACACTCGTCAACGCAAACCAAGCCATTGCGACGCCCCGCCAAACCGCCAGCGAACCGACGCCAGAGACACGGTTGCCGCCAGAGGCAAAGCAGGATTCAGCAGTCAAGGATCCGCTGGCAGCCACCATGGAGCCTGCGCATCTGGTCGCTCCTCTGCGCGCCCCGCTCGCTCTTCAGCTCGCCCAGCATCTGCAGGTGCGTTAACACCAACCATGGACACGGACAGTACCCATCCTCACCATTCAGCTGCACCGCCACATCATGCTGCCGCCGCTCAGGCCGACTCTTTTGCAGGGGCCGGCGGCCTGTGGCAGTGCGCACGTTCGGCTAAACAGATCGCAGAACACATCAAGAACTTGTCCACCTTCCCGTCCCTTGAGCGGCAGCGACCTGCGCCCGCTGCACCAGCCGAATGCGCTCACGGAGTTCGTGGTCTTGCAACGCGTCGTGACGCCGCCTGACCCGCCGCTCATGCGCAACTTCCTGGACTTCTCGCCGAATTCGACGCCGCTGTCCATAACCTCATACAGAAACAAGTTGCGCATGCAGCCAGTACTTTCCAAGCTGAAGCAGGTCAGCCCCTAATCAATCTCGAGAAATCTGTCGCACGCGTCTTCAATAGAAAGTATTCCAACTATAACGTCGAGTGGGCAGCCTTCACGAGATCGTTGCTCGTACCCGCTGTGGACAGGACCGACACGATGCTGAACAACAGCGCATGTGGCAGCATATTGACCAGATGCGTGACACGGAAAGCGCATGTGCACAGAAATTCGACGTTGTCCAACCCGTTTTTCCATCCAGCCACGTTGAACAAATATGTTGAAATTCATGTTGATGACAGTTTCTTGAAAGTATTATTGGCCCAACGTTGAGGCAGAAGTACATGATATATTTTGGGGCAGATGAGATACAGCAACATGTCTACCATATCGACGCTGTGTAATGGTAATGGACATATGCGGAGGTCCTACGCTGCGGCGTTGCCCTGCAAACCAGCGAAGTAAGAACCCGCAGAGAATTACAACACCATACGGACCATACGCAGTTTCTGGCAGGTAATTTTGTTTGCTTTCCTGGGCCGCTTCCACTGTTGCAAATACACTTGATAATGGAATTGCTACGCGTTTTACATTTGTTGTCGGTGTACAAAACCCAAAAAGCACTGGCCAGAATCTTCCCAGCGCATGTGTCCACAGCTCTTCAATCCAACTACGGAATGCAGCCAGCCGAAGTGTGTGATTTCATTGCAACGCCGCGTGAGATGATCCACGAATTTCGTGGCATCTGGAAACCTCGGTTCACATTGCTGTCTCACCAGCACGAACGACAGATGATAATGCAGTTCCGAGACTCGTGCAAAATAATGCGGACCGGTCGCTCCAGAGAGAACAATTGCCTCACATATTTTCACATTTGAACCATCCAAATCCCAACGATTATTCGGAAGTCTGCACAGATCTTGTGTCCGCGAAAACCCTTTGCTATGCGAGTCCCAAGAACTAAGTCTTCGAGAGAGATCAGCTAGAATTCGGCACTTGTGTCGCTGCGATCTCTGGGATTCGGAGTTTCCATGTGCTCGGTCGTGGGACGAGCCACTGGCGCCGGAGGCAGAAGCATGCCGCCAAGGATCTCCCAGCTCACCTTGGAGAACTCCTCGCCAACCCTGATAATGAACACCTGCTGGTCACCGAACGTTTGAGTGCCCGTCACGACGCTTCCCTGATCAGGAAAGCACTTCGGTGCCGACGGTGCCGGGGGTGGTTCATCTGGACGGTCCTGGTTGGTCTTTTGAGGACGCTGGTCGTTGTCCGAATTCTCCTCGAGGCGCTCGCACAAGGACTTTTTACCTGGACGGCTTCGTTGCATCTCTGCCTTCTTTTTTGTGGTCCCACTTCTTTTTGAGAGACGACAGATGTTCAACAATGTCTGGCTGTTGGGAGGCCCCCCATCTGCTGGTTCATGAGGTTCACGCCTTTCATCAAAAAGTCCCGCTTGTCATCTGGCAGGCGCAAGTCGATCATGGTCTGTGGATGCAACGGTCCAGAGCCACGTCCGGCTCCTCACCACACCTCCACGCATCAAGGATCGCCCGCTTTTTTTCGAGATATGCCTTCAGACTGGGGATGCTCGTGACGACCACGATCACCTCGATGTTCGTTGCCGGCTCAATCGGCTGGTCCATTTCAACGCGCATGTCGACACATTGACGAGCCCAAATCGAGATTGTTGGAAGGCCCCCCCTTGGTTGCATGTACACATCCCCGGCGAGAGCGACTGGTTGTTACGAGTACGCCATCGACTGTGGCGGCCTCGTGGACTGCATTTTCGTCTACTCTTGAAAAGGATTGCCTGCCATCCTCTGAGACGCAGCAAGAATAGAAAGGACAGTAAGCAGAGTATGGATGGCAGGGACAGGACGACCAGACCCTTACCCTCGAAGTACCTCGAAGCACCTTTTCCTCGGACTGCGTATTTCACCCCAGATGTGCCTAAGCAGAAACGGTGACGGGCATGCAGCGGGAAACGAGCAGGAGAGGGGACGGGAGGGAAGAAGACAGGAAAGGGAGCTTGCATGATTGGAGTTTATTGTTGTTGAGGACCAAAATCCGATCCAACCTTCAAGCTACCGACTTCCTGGTCGATAACGCAATCAATCGTTGTACCAGCGGGAAGTGCACAATGGATGGGCACGCTCCGAGAACGACGACGATGACGATGACGACGACGACGACGACGACGACGACGACGACGGCGACTGGCGAACGACGACGGACCATGGACGACTTACGACGGACGGCGGACGGCGGACGGCGTACGGCGGACGGCGGACGACGGACGCGGCAAATGCCAGGCTGACGCCCAGCTGCCCGCGTGGGAGGTGCCTGGCACCTCCGGCGGCTGGCGGGGCCCCAGGGGGGCCTCCTCCTCCTCTTCATTCCCGCTGCCCCTCAGGGGTCCAGCGGGGTCGAGGAGGAGGAGGGGACAGCGGGGGCGGGGAGGAGGAAAAGGAGGGAGGGAGGAGGCGAAGGAGGAGGAGGAGGAGGAGAGGGAGGGACCTGAGGGATGATGCGGGCCGTAAGTTGCCCCTAGCACGCTCAGCCTGTGCTGGCCTCCTTTTCCTCACGCGCACCGTGAACTCCCTCACGCCGGCGTTGGGCCATCTCCCATTACCCATCGGTCGTTGAAAGTAGGTATTTTGGGATTCCCAGATTCCAATCTACTTTCAGCGCCTTCCTACTTCAAGAGTCGAGTGGTTTTCCCTCTTCCTTCCTCTGCAGGAGGCGGGCGGAAACCCAATCTATTTCCAACGCCTTCCTACTTCATGTTTCTACCTACTTCTTCCGACCGATGGGTACACCAGCGCCTCAGGGGAATCAGAGCCGTGCAGTTCGGCGACTCGGGAGGCGTCAACATGGGGCAGGCTCGCCTCGCCGGAGCTCGCGCCGCCACCGCGTCGGCCGGAGCGGATGGCCTCACAGCCACGCTGTTTGGTTCCACCCCGCGCTCAAGCAAGGGACCCCTGACAGCATTGATCACCACCTACCAAACCACCCCAACCCAACCCGAAGGCCTCAATTTGCCCTCCATTTCCAGTGGGGGGGGGTCGGGGAACGCTGAAAAAACACATGGAACCCGTACCCCCCCCACCCCGAAATTCGGGTCAAATTCGGGTCTTCGGGTTGGGTTGGGGTGGTCTGGTAGGTAGTCATTGATTGATCGCAAAAGACGGCCCGACGGCAGGGCCGATGGTTGCCCTTCCCAAGTTTTGGCCGTAGAATAGGCTACGCCGTAGCCTCGGACGTTGTGTCTTGAGGCCAGGATGGTCTGAGCCTTGACGCTCGGCCAAGAGGCCCGTGTAGCCTTACACGCTTCGATGCCCGCGCAACTAGCAAAAGAGCAGATCGGGTAGCATATCTCATATCTCTCGACTCGGCCTGCACAGAAGCCTGGGCCACCGAATGTCCACGGAGTGTTCATGGTACCCTGGCTGAAGCAAGGGAGCTTTTTGGAGGAGCAGGAGTTGGAGGGAGGAAGATGAGGAGGAGAAAGAGGAGGAGGAGGAGGAGGAGGAGGAAGAGCAGCAGGAGGAGGAGGAGGAGGAGGAGGAGGAAGAGGAGGAAGAGGAAGAGGAGGAAGAGGGGAACGAGGAAAAGGAGGAGGGTCTGTAGCCATTTTGGCTCAAGCCATTTTGGCTCAAGGGGGCGCCTGTGCGCATTCCTGTTTACGGAGGGCACACCGCAAGCCCTGTCGTTTTGACCGCATTGCCAGGACACCTGGCCGCGCTAGCCCCAAAAGGGCTCCACCAGGAATGCCCCGCAGTGGTCGTAAGCCTCCTCACTCCGCGGTTTGTGGCACATGCGGTAACAGGTGGAATGCGCCCGCTGACCTCAGCGTGGTCGCCGTCGGGGCCGGAGCACGTGCTGGAGCGCTACAAAAGCAGGCCGCGGAGAGTGCGAGGCGGTGTGCCTCTGCTGCGCGGTCGGCGCCGCAGCAAGGGGCAGGCTCCGAACAAAATTCGACATCTCGCCACGCGGGCGGCTGGTGCGCAGGGGCCCTTCGCGCGCCGCCACCGCCGCCAGCGGGCGGCGAACAGCTCGTGCCTGCTGCGCGGAGGCGAGCGTTGAATGAGCAGGAGGGGGGGGGAGGAGGACGAAACACGAGGGGGAAGAGGAAAAACGCCGGGGGGGGGGTCGAGGATTGTCGGCGGCAGTCGGGGGGTCGTCGTGGGCCGTCGTGTGTCGGGGGGAGCTCATCGGGGTGGACGGTTGGCTGACGCGGGTCTGGAACTGGCGCCGGCGGCGACTCACACGGCGTCGCCCAAATCACGGTACCATTGTGGAGTCTTTTTGCAGGCAGATTTCCAGTCGGTCTTCCCCATCGGCCCGACGTGGGTGTCCCTCCTTCCAACACAACATACAATCCCCGATTGAGCACTAAGCCCGGTCCAATACTGGACTCGCAAGGAAAAATGTTATGTAAAACCGGTCCCAAGTCGTGCATGGCTTGCCTCTGGAACGCTTCGGCCTAGCAGGCAACTTCGGATCAGCCACGTCGCCTGGGCTTCACCTGGCAACCACATGCGCCAACGCATTCCGGCCAGGGCTTTGCAGCTTGAGGTGTAGATTTTGTTTTAATTTGCGCAACTATTCTGCCCATAATGTGATAGGCCAGCGCTGTATAGTTTGCTCGATTTTGTCTCGGACGCGCCTGTACACGTCGGACCATTCATCGTCGTCGTGCTTAATGAAGCCAGCCATACATCTCATCATGTGCCTCTGCGTTGAAGCGAGGTTCTCAAAGTCGGCAGAAGTCAAAGGAGCTGTGGAGAGGCCATATAGCATTGTAGGCGTGCCGATACTGTCAAAGAGGCGAAATCTGAGAAGCAGATCCACGTGCCGGTTGGTCAGAGCAGAGCGGAATTTGTGGTTCATTCGCCCATGCGCAGCGCAGCCAGTTTGCCAGAATTGATTTTCCCCTGTTCTTCAGGTCGCCCGGATATTTGTTGCCGAGATACACGTGGAATTCTCTTCTCTCGCGACCTCAATGAGACCGCCTGCTGCGTCCACAAACCATGGGCAACCACTTTGAACGAAATTGCGATTCAAAGTGAAGATTTTGCTCCTCTTTGCATTCAGCTCCAAGCCGACCTGGTGTAGTTCTTCAGCGAGAAAGTCTAGCATCAACGTCAATTCGTTCAGGCTCGCGGCGTATATGATGAGGTCATCGGCGAACATGACGTGAGTCAAACGGCGACCAGAAGGACCAGGCTCGATCTTAATGCCGTGGGTGCTCAATCGATTTGACCATCTTCTCACGACCAGCTCTAACGCAGCATTGAAGAGCAAAGGGCTCAAAACGTCACCTTGTCGAACCCCCCGCCGGATGTCGAAGAGTCGTTGGTTCTGCAGCTTGCCCCTCTGTCCGCCGTAGATCTCTGCTAAGAGCGCGAGATATGGCCAAGACACACCCTGTACTTCAAGAGTTTCGAAGAGCTGCGGCCATTTGATTCTCTCGAATGCCTTCTTTAGGTCCAAGCTCGCGAACAATAGCGGCATGTTGAATTCGATCGACCTCGCGATTGCGGTCTCCAAGATGAGCAGTGCGTCCTCCGTGCCCCTGTCTGGCATGAAGCCCATTCGTTCGTCGGATTGTTGCTCTTGTAAGTTTTGTTTCAACTTGCCGTGCAATACTTTCGCAAACAGTTTGTACAGCACGCGTAAAATGGCAATCGGGCGCCAGTTCGCTGGATCTGTCAAATCCCCCGCTTTCGGGAGCAGCGTGAAGAACGCGACGTGCCCGTCGTCTGGTATTCGACCGTCTCGTAGAATAGTGTTGAAGACTTTGGTCAAGTACTGCAGCAGCTCTGGGCCTGCACCTGCAATCATCTCTATCCAAATCCCGGTTTTGTCCTTCCATCTTCCTCTAGCCATCTTGCGGGCGGCAAGTTGCAGCTCTCCTGGGCTGATATTAGGGATCGTGCCAATGAGTTCCTTCGAGAATTCAGGACAGTCCGCATCGCTGTTGAACAAATCCTCCATGAAGTCAGCCATGGCTCCCTGCGGTTTGGTCGCTGGCGCCTGCCGTTCAATAGGGCATCGATGCAGCGGCCCCAGCTCCGAGACACCGCGGAAACTCTCTAGGATCTCTTCCGTTCTTGCCGTTTTGAATTGACGCGTCAACTTCCGAGCTTCGTTCTGGATGTCCTTTGAGAGCTGGCTTCGTCTCTCCTTATCTCTACATGATTTTCGTTCGTGCCGAAGTTGAGCCAGCAATGCACTGTCTCTGATGCGATCCGGGGCCGGAGAAGCAGCCTCGCATCGTGCAGCAGTTGCCGCGGTAATCTTTTCGATCTGATCCGCGGTCACAGGGCACTCGTGGGCCAGCGCTTCAGCCATCAGCGATCGGAACTGCGGCGTTGGTTTGAAAATCTGCCGCTTGGGCTTCTTCTCCCGGGTCCAGCCGTGTCTTCCACAGCGCCCGTTTTGGACAAGAACTGCTCTCGCCGCTCTGCTATCGGAACCGAGATCCAAATCATTCGTCGCAGCTGCTTCCAAGATTCGCCACCCAGGACCGACAAGGATAAACTCAATGTGTATTCTAATGCCGATGCTGCTCTCAAATGTGCATGCGTCGTCCTGGCTGCTTTCCTTTTCTTCGTTGGCAATCTGCAGATTGACATGGCATACAAAATGTAACAGTTTGCCTGATAGCACCCCTCGATGCACTTGCGCATTGAAATCCCCGCCGAGGACAAAAGCAAGGGAGGAGGAGGAGGAGGAGGATTGCTCGCCTTCCTGATCGCACGCTGGGATGATGCAAGGAAGTTCCTGCTCAGCACGGCGCTCTCGCGCCGGAAATGCAGGCCCAGGGGGCGCTGGTCCGTCCAGGGGGGGGGGGGGGGGCACTTCTGCGTTGGGGAAGAGGGCTTGTCGGGATGTATCTGTCGGGGGTGGACAGAACCCCCAACAGTGACACGTCGATTAGTGAATTGTCCGTTTTCGGTTCTCGAGAGGGCGCCGCGGCCGTTATTTTCCAGGCTTGCGCCCGCCAGGTTTGGGCCTCAGGTCGTTTTTACTAAACCACGTTTTACTAAAGAGAGGTCTGTCCATCCCCGATTCCTGCGTTGGGGAAGATGGCTTGTCGGGATGTATCTGGTGGGGGGCGGCATGGTGTGTTGGAGCATCCTTGCTGCATCTTGGATTTCATCTGGTCCTCCTCCCCCGGGCGGACGGCATAGGAGGATTGGGGGAGGGGAGAGGGTCAATGCTGTTGCCTGCAGGTGGTTTCGACTCCATTGCCACCCGGCTTAGTCGATATATGGCAATCGTCATCGCTGGGAGGGGGAGGACAAAACAGTTGCATGCAGCTGATTCGATAGTTCCTCCTTCCTACCCTCTTCA